ACCTCCATTGTAGAGGATCCTTCCAGTAGGATAATTCGAAACTCTCTCGTCAATACCTATTTTCGTATACTTAAAAATTTTTCCCAGCAAAATGAACTTAGCCCGGCCAGATCCTCGTAATTTGGATCATTTCACATCGATTTACGCTTTAAGTGTAATTTTTTATAAAAATTATATTTATTATCGGGGGTCAAAGTTGACAACATGTTTGTTTAATATCCAGGATATCCGTTGTTCAATACCGAGCATTTCATACGAATTCTCTTTTTGTTTTTGCTATTCGCGTCATCGAAACATTTTGTGAATGTAGGAAATAATAGAAAAATGTCAATAATGAGCAATAAATAAATACATAGACAATTAAAAAATAAAAAAATTCCAAGTTTTTATTCAATACATTCAATACATTCTATACAGTGCGTTATCATTACCGCGTGTTCATTACATACGAGTTTTATCACATAATAATTTTTCGTCCCGTCGAATCGTATTTTTGCACAGACGATACTGACAATAAAGTACTACTGGTAACATTTACTGGTCTACCAAATATGCTTTCAATAACATTCTTCGTCGAGAAATGTCTCATTATCTGAGGATTTATCGATCGATCTTCGATTAAAGACATGCATAATTCTTCACTGAGTTGACGCAAGAAATACCGGCGTTCGTTGGCTGTTTTTATCATTTTGTTATTTTCATAGTATAGAAAGTACGCAGCGAGACTCGCGACATCCATAATGTTATAAAAAAAGGCAAAAGACCATCTTTGCATTTGTCTCTCCATCATGTATCTTCGGAGCATCTGTTCCATCGTGTCGTCATCGATTTTTGTTTTATTGTAATTCTGAATTATTTCCGGCTTCTGTCTTTGAGTCGCGCTTACGTTCGTGTTTGTATGCATTGTGGATAAAAGTAACACCACTTTGTTTTCTTCCAGGACATATGAACAGATCATAATATTTTCGTGGAAAGAAGATGAATACAAAAAGAGATGAATACACCTTACAAGATTTCGAAGCCATCATTTCAGTCGGAATATATTCTTTATTGTTGCTGTTCAACATTCCAACGATTGTCAAATTCCAGAAATTTTGCCAAAGGTAGTAAAAAAATCATCCATTGTAATATTTCTATCCGAATCTTTATAAGGAAGAGCCAATTCTTCTACGACTCGCTCACTTTGATTGACTTCGCAATCCTGTGCAGAGTTTTCCGTACAAATATGTCTCCCTGCAGTGGATATCAATTTTCAGCATTGCATATCCACCATACTTTTATCCCGCATTTTGCCGGTTTCGATGGAATGTATTGCGTGAATCGTGTTCGACCGCAATACGGAAAAAGCTACTCGTAAATTGTTAGGCACTCTGTTGGCTTGTACATTTTTTAAATTGGAATTAAGCATCGTCCAAACGTCGTGTATTAAAGCAGCTTTATCCTCTTCAATGCGAGCTTCTCGAGTGTTTATATCATCGAAACGGATGAATCGTAGGATATTCCAAAATCTATTGATGCCCATCGTCGCTCGGTGCAGAAGATACGAAGAGGACCGCCACATGTCAGTTGCATGGTCATAATTTGAATTATTTATTCCGGAACTGATTAAAATCCCTAAAAATCCGTAAAATTCGCGGTTCGTGATGTCTTTCCATGAAAACTGTTTTTTCGTCGGATTCGCTTCATTGTACGCTCGATATACTTGAGACGCCTTCCTATTCGTGTGACGCGATAATGTCTACCATTTCGCTGGTGAAAATTACTTTAAACGTGACGATTAATAAAATTTTTGTGTTCTTATGAGGACCACTTTTATATCGAAGAATATTTCGAAACGGATGTTGCCGTTGAAATGTCCGAGTTCAGATGGTTTTGTTTTTGGCAACAAAATTTGCGGTTGATTTGAGTGATTGATGAGCAGGTATCTCTTCATTCGATATGTTCGTTTCTTCATCACTCTCATTTTCAGATTTTATTATAAGTTCGTTTTCGATTTTAAACGGATTGTTCTAATCTTGCTCTAATTTCCTCGTAATCAGACATTTCAGAGCTCATTGCTTGCTTACTTGGCACTGAAAATCACTCTTCATCGTCGCTATCCGACACGTAATTATTTTCGGCAGACTCAGACTCCTCGCCTAATTGTTCCGTCAAATAACTACGCTTTTCTTCGGCCGTCAATCTAAAATTTTTTTAAGATGTTATACAAAAATCATTCATATTCTAAAAAATGTCTTTGAAATAGATTGAAATTAAAAATAAAAATAGATAAACAATAAAAGAGCTACGCCTTTAGCCAAAAAAATTTTGACGAATTATTTTGTAATTATCTGTCACATTGAGAATAACCCGATAACGAATCGAAATTGTTTGTGTTATTATTATTTAAAGATTAAATTTAATTAGTTAGCAATGAACATCCAACTTGGCTCGTAACCCTTTTATTGTTTATGTATTTTAATTTTAATTATTTGAGAATGTTACCTATTTTCTTATTTTAAAATAGTTAATTATAAATAAAGATAGATAGATAGATAATTATTTCGGAAATATTATCTCGAGATGAAATTTCAAGATTCTCTCGTATCAAAATGCATCACTATATAGAAATAGATCATTAAAATGACTCACCTTGCAAATTCACTTGCTGATATATTGCTGATACTTGCTGAATAATTCCTCCATTTTTTCACTGATAAATAATTGATGAAAAATAGCAAGAGTCTCAAAAAAATAAACATCAAATATTAAATTTTGCACATCGAGATCTCATTTTGAATCTCATCCGAGACTGAAACCACGTTACAAAATTCATCTATCAGCCGCTAAATTGCCCCAGAAAGAATCAAGGGAGAGTGGAGCGAATTTAGCCGGAAGCTACCGTTTGTTAGAGTGAGTTATAGTAGAAGCATGATGGAACATATGGTGCTGCACTAGTATTGTATGTATGTATGTATGTATGTATATATATATATGTGTGTGTGTGTGTGTGTGTGTGTGTGTGTGTGTGTGTGTGTGTGTACATGCACACATGCACATTTCCGGAAGTGAGCGAATAAATGACGAAATCAATTAAAGAAGAGAACGCTATCCGCTCCATTCTTGATCCTTCTCTCTGGGTTGCCCGAAGGGAATTCTATGTAAAAAACATTAAAAAGAAAAAAAAATCAAAAAGTCGGAAATCCATACAAGGGTCTGGAAGAAGAAAATCCCTGTCCATTCGTCAACTTACAGTTGGGGGGAAGAGCAGGTAGCTCTACATTGTAACTAGCGATTTTGCATAATGTACTCGGGTACTTGGGTATTGAACGAAGGAGGGAAATTCGTGTATTGACAAGAGAATTAAACATTTTTTATACCTTGAACAATTGAGCTATATCCACAATTTTCGGGATACATCGCTTTCATTAATTCAGTGTAAGTTACATATTCTCCATCTAATTCTTTAGTTCTGGTGTCAAAATAAAATGTACCTCCATTGTCTCCATATTTAGTAATATGATGTACGTTTATAATATACGCTGCTTCCTATTGAAATATCAAAGTTTTCAACATTTCTTCATATAATTTTTTAACAATATATAATATCTATATATTAATATTTTAGATATGTTAAAATAATTTATCAGAATATATTTAGAATGTAATGAATATCCTACATGAAATAACTCATGTCTCTTTTATCTATTAAATTATAAATAAAATATTTCACAAAAATAAAGTATTTTGTAATATATTGCATTAGATAACAAAGGCAACTTATATAAATATTAAAATTTTTTTACCGAAAGTGTGGGATAAAGAATATGATCGAGATATACAGGCAGTAAGGAGAAAAATCCTTTTGTCTCACTTGTTCTCATACTGTAACAAGTGTAATCTTGAAACGTATGAATCTCTGCGTCAAGTGAGTAGCATCTGTGAGACCAACGAGTCAAAAGATTTTTATAGGGATAGTCTTCGCTACCCATCAATACAAGATGTGACACTGCTTCAGGAAGACCATCGTCTGTGAACACTTCCGTAGCTGAAAAAAAAGAATTGGTATAAATATAAAGATGATTAAAAATACTTTAATGTTTCCTAACTTTTATTTCAATAATTCTTTCATTGATATGAATTTCATTGATAGGAATTAACACTTTGTTTGATTTGTTAAGAAAAGATACAAACATCTAGAATTAAATTAATTCCGAAAGAATTTTTTAGAATTACAATTTCGAAGCATAAGAGAACCAACTTTACACATCAAATCTGTCATGTTATGTCAACATAGTTCTGCCATTAAAACACAAGCTTACTGATGACATTGTGCCAATTTTAATAAGCTTTGTTATACCTCTGTCAGCATTCTATCAACAGCATTGTATATACATGTAGCAAATATTTTGTAGTCTATTGTCGAGTAGAATCTATTCTCGACAGACTTATTGTTAGCTACCTAGGAGTCAAAGTGAAAGGGAGAACTCCACATAATATCCTTAATTAATTATCACGTATATTCAAAAATTACCGATAGCGAAGTGGCAGCTGACAATCGGATCACTTACGTCCGCGATACAAATTGTCAGGCCGGTTTTCAAAGATCTGTACATAGCAAGTGGTATCTTGTCGTTGATCATCATCGAATACACCATCCTAAATACCCCATTTGTTGGCGGATTCACGTCCGTGATCTCCGCGAGGCGGGGAGTGCGGAAACCCGGAACACCCGGATACACAAACCTCGCGAAGTTCATTCACAAGTTCCAGTTCTGTTGTTCTGTACAGTATTACTGATCGATACTGCTTACTTGTTAGATACCGTGCCAAAAATACATACACTTCGTTAGAATGTTCTAAAATGTCAAGTGACACGGTATTGAAAATGTATAGTTCACGTCACGTTTGTTATAGATTTTCAGTACTATCAGTGCATTGCAGTGCATTTCCGGCCAATGGCTCCGTTCTAGTAGATCGTTCAGATCGTTAGACTTCTGGACGCAAGCAAAAACGTTGTATTGACAGATATGGCAAGATATTCCAGTGACTCGGACTCGGACCACAGTAGCAGATACCGAAGGAAACGAAATCGAAAGTCAAGGTAAAAAAACGCGAAAGTAATATCTAATTCTATTGTTAATTTAAAGGTTAAGAGTTACAATTTTTTCAATTTGTATCAACTCTCACATTATGTATATTTCATTAATTTTTATTATGCAATTTAGTTTTAATTTGTTTTATTTATTAAATAAATATTAACATTATATTTATACTAGAACGTGTTTAAATTAAAGTAAATATTTATATTGGTAGAAATGGATCTTATTGACAATCTTATTATTCATTAGCAGAATATTCAATATTACAATAATTTTTGCAGGTCTAGCAGCTCAGACAGCAGTGAATCCTCACCACATCGAAGGAGATCCTCAAAACATTCTAAAACAAAACGTAAACATCGATCACACTCAAGAAGTAGAGGAAGAGATCGAAATTCAAAGAGCCATAAAGGATCCAGGAGCAGTCACTCGAGAGACCGAGATAAAAGACGTTACCATTCTAGCACCGGTAGATCATACTCTTCGGACCGTACAAGAAGAAAGGCTAGATCTATATCCAGAGAAAAATCACGAAGTCCTTCCAGCAGTTCACAATCGAATCAACCAAAAATGAATACAGAGAAAAGCCAAGTCTTAACAACAAAAGGTAGAAACGCATTAGCTTTTATGAATATTACATTTAAATATTTTAATGATATTTTATATAAAAGATGCGAATTGTATATTGCTTTTCAGATGATTTTCCCATTGAACCACGTTTCAAAGATAGTGTACTTGAAGAAATAAACGCTGAAGGTTTCATTCCTAAGCAGTTCACTTCATCTGTTACCAAGGAGAGTAAATTTAAAAATATTGTAATAGACATTACTTCAGATACCATACAAGTTCCACTAGTATCTAATGTTGCCAGTGGCCCGGAAAGTATATTTCATACATCAGTAAGTTTTAGTTGTTTTTGTATTTCCTGATGTACTCGTACATAGATAACATTTGTTCTTTCTTCTCAGATTATGATGGATCAAGAAGCAAGATTCGATAAATGGGTGAAAAAACTCTACACTCTTAGACAGAAAGCTATAGCTGACTTGACACATACAAATATGACGTAATTTAAGATTTAAAAGATTTAAAAATTTAGGTTAGCATTTTGTAATACACAAATGAATATGAAAATATATCCTGCATGCGAAAAATACAAAAAATATATATATTGAATTATATAATATTATATATATATATATTTATATATATATATACATTGAATTATGTAATATATATATATATATATATATAATATA